AACCCAAACCAAATTTCAAGTCTTCAAAAGACGATTTACGCCAATCAGAAATTGTCTATTTCTACAAACTGCTATAATCAAAGCCTTGCTTCTGTCCATTTACATTAGTTTTTAAGACGAAGTTGTGGAGATATTCAAAATTGGAGTTTAGATGCTCTTTGGACTAAATAGTAGCTTATTCTATAGTTATGGTTTTCTTTCGATTATTCGTAAGTGCAACAAACTTAACGGATTAATCTTTCTTTTCTTCTTTCTTCTCCTCTTCTTTTTTGCCCTCTTTTTCAGCAGATTCCTGAGTGTAAAATAGGAAAGAACGCGGAAACTAACAAGAAGACAGCCTTTTACCTTCTTTTCCTCCTTCTTCTCTTCCTTCTTCTCCTCCTTCTTCTCTTCCTTCTTTTCTTCCTCTTTCTTTCCATCTTTTTCAGCGGACTCCTAGATTGACCAAAAGAGAATAAATTTATCGTGAGAGCAGCTATATGATTACATGATTACCTTCTTTTCCTCTTTCTTTTCCGCATCTGCTGCCTCAAAAACTACTATTATTCTAGCGACACCTTCTGCTTTTGAGTCCGGTGTCCAAACCTACATTAAAATCCTCAAATACATGGCCTTTATGGTCTGGTGATGTACCTGCCGTGCTGTTTTGCCTGTGTCGTCGGTACATTTCATGTGATAGACAGCAAAGAAATGTCTGTTGTTTTCCGGAGGAGTCTTGGCGGTTAAAATTATCTGGAATTTTCCCAGTTTAATCATTAAACTTTAAGGTGTTATTGTTACCTTGACAATAGCAGTTTCGTCAGCTTTAACAAAAGAGAGAGGAGGGCGTACTCGAAAGATTTCATTATCTGTACACTTTACCTAAAATAGATAGAAACACCTTTATTTTACCATCTTAAAAGACGGTAAAAAATACTCAGAAAGGCTTCTCTTTGAAAATTTAACCCGCAAAATGCACTGGATATCTCAGACGTACGCTTCTAAAGCGTCCATCGTTTTTAGTCTTGAAGGGCTTATAAACATAACACAAAGTCTATATCATTTCAGGCTCATAAGTGGTTTCTGCAGACAACTGATCTATTGCAAGCTGTTCCCTAATCTCCGTAATTTTTCCCTGTCTTCAGGTGGTTTATTTTGAAAAGTTGCCATACACAGTTTGAAAGTTTTCCTGCTCTACGAAACTCGCCGTTCAAAACTTTTGATTTCGTCCTGGCTTCTAAGCTGAGAAACGGAATGTCAAGTTGTCAGGAAACATTATCTATCACCTGCTGAGGTTCTGGTTAATTTTGAAGCGCATTTTAAACCAAAAAATTAAGAAAAAATTGGCTTCAACTTGTTTCGTTTATGAAGAAGATGCTATTGTATTTATGTCTGTCTTAAAGGTCAGAATCAGTCTGAATAAAATTCAGCAACAAAGGAAGGCTTACTCGAATTGGCCCTCATATACGCCAAAAAAGTAGTTTGGGGAAGGCTGTCTCAATCTCCTTTTCACACTTGCTGATGCGAACCAAAATGGCTCGTGTCTTGACTCGAAGATATTCTATGCAGGTTCGATGGTTGTCGGCAACGCACTTTCAAATAGTCTGTCGGACTGGCAAGCAGGGGAGGAGTAAAATGGGGTCGCTGTGGTACAACGCACTTGACCCTTTACGATGTTCCCAGCGGCTACTTCAAGCGTCGCTTCAAAATAATGTGAAGGCTCTTCAAAGATCGTGAAATCCACGTTATCACATCTGCTTCGCGCGGGCTCATTTGCCTATAAGCCGTAAGCCGTTTGGCCTTGAGCCAAATTAAAATTGTGCTTCTCTGCTGAACAGAATTTTGTTGGAATTCATCCTTATTTTTCAAACTTTTTTTTTCATTTCAGGTACCAAGAGGAGCGTAGACGAGGAGAGTCATGAGTTCAATGATCTACCATTCATTTGCAGCGCTTTTCTTTCCTGAACCCGACTTAGCCTATGATCTGCTAACTTTTCAAAATTGTTGATGAAGTCTCAATGAAATTTGGTTGTGGATGTTTGTTTGCTCTCCAAAATCATACATTCATCACTCGCGCAGGTTTTACCATTGACTCTTCTTTCTTAAAA